GCGCCCCCACGTCCCTGCGTCCCCGAGTCCCCGCATCCCCGAGTCCCACATCCCCGAGTCCCATGTCCCACGTCCCATGTCCAAGTCCCCGTCCAACTTTTAGTCACAGCCCTTGACATTTTAGTTGGTCACTTAAGGGAGGTTCAACTGTAGTTACCTGTTGAATAGGATAAATGGAAAATACAGAATGTATCCTGAGGAGCTGGCGTTCTTCCTCATTTGCAGCATCTAGCTCATCTGGCGGAGTCCGATCAAGAAGAGATGGTAGCAGTGGGTCAGGATCACATGACTGCAAGTCAAAAATGCTACAAAAGGACAAATGAATGAATAAATGAATAAATAATTTTTTTTAATTGCTAAACACATAATTACCAACATTGCCTTACCCTACTTACAATACAACACAATACTTAACCTACTTACAATACACTACCTTATTGTTACTATTATTATTATTATTATTATTANGATCAACAAATATATATATAAAAAAACAAACACACACAGAAATCACTGAGAGTATCTTGTTTGTGCAGTTGCTCGGGTTAGATAAATAAATAAATAAAAAGATAAAATATGGTTTACTTTTAGAAGAATAGTGCACGCACATGCAAAAAATATACAGTGATAAATGTTACATAATTTTTGACTGAAGAGGGAAGAGGCCAAGGCTGTGGTGCATATTGTATTTGATGGTATGGTAAATAATACCTGGATGCCCAGCTCCCCCTGGGTAATTCTTCGTGTCCTTTGCCCAATTGTTGTGATGACTTCTGCTGCATTCCATTCTTTGCCTAAGAAAAAAAATTGGGGATTTTATAAATGAAGGCCATTACTTCATTTATAAATGCTAAGTAATAAAATGAACAATGATAGGGCAGATGGCTTTTGCTATAGCTTTGCCTGGATTTAACAATCTTGCACATTCGGTGACCCCTATTTTTCTTTTGATGGATCATTTTCTCTACCGATTTTCTAGGTTTGGTGAAAAAATGAGAAAAATATATCAATTAACAGTTTGAATTTTTTGCAAAATGCACCATCAAATTCCATTATTTTTAGTTCTTCATTTAGCTGTGCAGCGATTTCAAATGCCTCTTGACGGGTTAAGTTTTGTGAAAACATTGGCAACATTTGGAATTACTTACACAACAGACCCACTTTTACAAAATATAACTAAGATCGTTTGCCTCCCTTGACTCACATATTTTTAACTATAAACCCCTGTAGACCATGNGTATACTAATTTATTAAACTGCCCCTATGATCAAATTCTAAATATGCACTTTTTTTTTACATTTTTGTACACAATAGGTCTTTCCTAGATATCTTGCCAAATTTCAATCCATTATGAACATTAAAACTCATGTTTTTTAGACCCTTATTTCTGAGAAATTATGGCCGCCTAAGTCTTGGTTGAGGATTGGAGTAAATGACGTCATTTACTCAAAAATACCGCATTGGTTGAAATTACAATAACAATTAGTGTAGAAAATTGCATGAATGTAAGAGCTAAAGTTTTTGTTACTCTTTATGCAAATTGCTGCACTAATTGTTGTTATAATTTCAACCCGTGTGGTATTTTTGAGTAAATGATGTCATTTACTCCAATTCTCAACCAAGCCTTGGAACAAGGAAAATTAATTATAACCTGTCATACTACAATGTTAAAGTAAAGTTATTATAAATAAATATTGTGATCATAGACCCTAATGCTATTATTTCTTGGTCACATTACCTGGTCTACCAATTTTCCTTTTTCATCTATTTCATACACCTGGCTGGGAAGAGTTCTCACAAAGCTGGATGTGCGTGCTACTTTACGCCTTGAATCTGGTTTTCCTTCATCTGAACAACGGAACTGGTATCTGTTTTTCCATCATATATAAGATTCAGTTAGTCACAATACATGCCTATGAAGTTTAAACTTTAAAAGAAGACCAACTACTTTGATCCTGATTAAGGTTTATGTTCAAATAAAATATTTTCTGCACATCCGTACACGACATGTACAAAGTGACACAATGTCATGCCACATCATGCATCAAGCACCTGAGCTACGGAAGAAAACTAACATCAACATTCAAGTACAGGGCTGATACCAGCTTAATTTCTCACGGCAGTCTTTTGAGTATCTTCCCTCCACAATAAATTCAGTAACCCCCCATATAGGGAGGCACGGTGGCCTCATGGTCAGTGTGCTCGTCTCCGGATCGAGCGGTCCAGGTTCGAGCCCTGGCCGGGGACATTGTGTTGTGTTCTTGGGCAAGACACTTTACTCTCACAGTGCCTCTCTCCACCCAGGTGCATAAATGGGTACCGGCGAACTTAATGCTGGGGGTAACCCTGCGATGGGCTAGCATCCCATCTAGGGGGGAGTAGAAATACTCCTAGTCGCTTCATGCCTCAGAAACTGGGATAAGCTCCGGCCTGATGGGCCACTTGGCTTGCATGCAGACTTTACCTTTACCCATTCTTATGTTTCTGACTCTAGTAACTCAAAATCTAACTATGATGACAGTTTTGAAAGATTTTTGCATCAATTTCATTGACACACTGTTAAGAAACATGTAAAATATAAGTACGCCAATAATAGACAGGATTTATCCTTCTTTGCAGTGCTGAAAATAACAGTTGGTCATCAGACATTGTCCAACCAAACTGCTACACTACCAGCTAATATATATATTTCATTATGAGCACAAAATCATTATTAAAAATTATCTCACAACCAAACTGACTTAGCTTTTGGTTGTGAAGAATTAGGGGTGTAATGCAGGGGTATAATGATTCATAATAACGGCTTTCATTTTCATTTGATTTCGATTACCGGTACATCTAAATTACCTTTCAATCTTGAATATTTTGATTCTATTTAATGCAAATGTTTCTTAACTCTTATCATACAAAAATTAAACAGCCAAACTTAAAAAACCCTTTCAGGTTATATTTGGGAGTTACATGATTAAAGGAACATTTCAAGAAAGCAAAGACAAAACATATAAATTGTCAGTGTTTTACTTTCTAATGTTCTTTCAGATGTTTCTTTGAAAAAAAATTAACTTGTCCATGTGGTCACTACAGAAGCATTACCTTTGAGCACACAAAGGGTCACTTTCATACAAAGTAAAAATCATGAATTGAACCTGAATGGTCACAATCGCAATTAATCCAGACTTTGATAAATTGTTTCGGGAAAATTGAATCTCCAAGGCCAGGAATGTGTTGGAATAACTAGAAAAACAAGAAGACATCACCTCTTCTATCCACATCTAATGCACTTAAAATCACATCAAAAATAAAACGACCCACCACAGTTTACAGTTTTAAAATATTTAGTACTTTATATTTTGAAGTGATTTTACACTGTAAGTGTATTGGATGTGGATAGAAGACGTGATGTCTTCTTCTTGTTCTTCTCATGATAAATTGTTACACCACTATTAATATAGCCTCTCCAGACTTGCATGAAATGTGAAACAAACATCTCCTTTGACAATTACTCCTCATTAATTTATGTACATCTATAAGTAACCATTACTTCATGTCATTGAGATTATTTGTGTATGCAAATTATGTAGTAATGTCCAACCAATTTGGTACCATATGCAGTCACAATAGAGATTGGACAGGACACATACATGTCCTTCTTTGTATTTATTTACAAATTATTTCCAGTACTGCCTTTATAATTAAGTGAACAGTGAAAGTTGTACTTTTGATTATAACATGTAAATCTTGTCATTAACAAAAGTTAGTTAAGATCCTGACATAATTTACAACATTTCATGACTACATGACAGTGCAGCTCTGAAATAAGCCAACAAAAATATATGATTGAGCTGTACACGTAAGCTGAACATACACCTTTCTAAAACAGACTCCTGAGATTGGCCCATTTAAAAAACAGTCAATTAACAATCCTCTTTCAAGGCTTGGTCTGAGCTACCACTAACAATATTACATTTAGGAAATAACACACTGGCTGTGGGTAAAATTTGGGTGGCAGGGAAGGAAGACTGGGGAGCTGGGACCCAGGAAGAGGGCCCTCCTGGGGGAGTACAGATCGGGTGGTACCGGGGGTAGCCATCCTGGAATAAAAGTTCCAGACCTGTCTCCAGGGGTGAGGCCCATATCCCTCAGTCCACGGGGACTGAGGGAACCAGGAGGGGGAGCCCCTCATGGGGGGAGTACAGATCAGGTGGTACTGGGGGTAGCCACCTTGGAATAGGTAATTTCTCCGGACCTGCCTCCAGTGGGCTAGAGCCTTACTGTGGGGTAAAGAACAGCTAATGGGTGCACTTCCCTGCCACAAGGTGCGGAACTTGCTTAAATGAGGGACGCAATTTCCCCACAGTAAGATAAAGTGGGGGCAGGACTCTTGAGCAAAGGTCAGGTGCCCTGTTCGTAAAATAAGATTACTTACAAGGTAAAGATAAGGAATGAGAGCTTCTGTGGCTTACTAACAGTTTAGGTACAGTTAAAATAGTTGATTGTGGAGTTTTGATATATAGTTTGTAGCAGTCTGAGATCCACTGTCCTAGAACTTTAATTAGCCATACAGGGATGCCTGCTGTGGCTGCTGATGTGGCGGCCCCGATGCGGAAGTTGTGGGAGTAGAAGTTGTTGGACGGGAAGCCGCATTGCTGTAAAATAATCCGGAGCTCCTTGGTGAGGCTTGAGCGGGTTAGCCATGAGCCAGATTTAGAGAATGTAAATAAAGGATCGCTTGCTGGAGGTTGGGCTTGGAGAATGTAGTCTTTCATTACAACAGATGGGTGAAGTGGACTTTGCTATGGTGAGGGTGCATCCTTGGCAGAAAGGGTCGGTTTTGGATTGTTTTATCCTAACCCACATAAGGGAAGGGCATTGCATATCGGGGTGGAAGGTTATATCTTGTGAGGTGAGATGGACCTCAGGGTTGAAGGGGCCATTACAGGTGAACTCACTAGCACGTAAAAAGGCAAAGAATGCTAGGGTGAAGGCTGCCCAAAGCATAATATGGTCTAAATTAGTGCTCAGTGCAGGGCGGAGATAGTTGTGGATTGCGGTGAGGATTTGGGGAGCGATTGCGTCTTGTTGAGGGGGCCAGGCGTTTTATACCTGTCAGGACTTTTTGAAGACGNAATTGACAATTTGCTGCTTTCTAAGTGAAATCAAAGTCCTTGCAGTCGTGGCGGGCCGATCCTTTGTTAAGATAAACTGAGGCGAGACTTCGACTCATAACAAAGGCTTGGCTTGGCTATTATAACAAAGGATCGGCTCTGTTTATCATGACAAAGGCCCAGCTTCGTTTATTCAAAGGCCTCGGCGGGAAAAGGGCGTTAGGTATTTTAATCAAAAGTGAACTTTGTCGAAAACGCTCCAAATTTTGCATGCAGTTTTGTTTAGGTATGCTTAGCAATGTCCCGTAGTTTTTCCGGTAAGCTTCGCTTCGTTTTCGAGATATTGCATATGCACAAAAACCACTCGCTTTTCCTAGCGGCGTCTTTATAAACAAAGCAAAAACCAGCGGGAAAAATACAGGACCACGTTTTTCTATTATATTGAAGACCACATGCAAAAATTCAAGCCCTTTCGCGAAAATTTTTTTTGTCACCCAAATCGTCATTTAGCATGGTTTTGCACTCACCCGTTCAATGTGCCATGTCTCAGAATTCCAAAAGATTTTAGATTCTAACTATACTAGGATAGGTCTTTCAATATATGTAAAGTTCAGTTTGGGCAAATGATAAGGCACTCATCAAAAATTATTCAAAATCGTTCACAAAAGACACAAAATCACGCAAAATGACAATTCTTTCCACCGACTGACGAACTCATCGTTGGAGAACACTTTGGTTTCGTTTACCCCTAAATAATTACATTAATCCAATATTCTTGAAATCGTCCCTTTTTAGACAAGGAATAGTTGTGCAAAAAGCTGGTTGTATTACAACTTTTCTGCGCTCAATAGTTGCGAAATGTGAAGCAAATGAAAATGGTTGATTTTCAGCCCAGTTGGGACTTGCTAAATTGCAAGAAATTGAAGCTGAAAGTTAAATCGTAAATGTCACTTTTCTTGGAAAGACAAAACTATTTCAAGGAAAAAACTACAGCCTGAGTTTTCTAGATTTGCTGAAGAAATTTGATTTTGTTTGATTTTGTTTGATTTTTGTGGGCATTTGCTCTTAACTGCAGTCATGCTAACTGTCAGTGCAAATAGTTAGGTCACATGAACTTGAATGCTTTAAGCGGATGTTATACGACCACATGGAGATATTGTTTACTAGTTTTTAGGGTTGTAATTCGTCGTAGAGATTGCTGTTCATTTCAAGTTGGAATAAATGGTTTTAAAACTCAGAACCACTAACATCAAGCTGGTTATCCAGAGACATTTACCAGACTTAGACTGTATTGTTAGTTATAAATCTACTACTACTTTAGCACATCTATGTAAATAGTATGTTTTTGGGGGGCCATACGATTAGCACTAATCGTATGGCCCCCAAAACATAACCACACGCGATAACATATGCATTAAGGCATTTCTTATAACGTCCATTTACAGCATGTTTCAGCAGTTATTCACTTCCATGGGAAGTTAAACTTACACACACTTATGTTCTTATGTTGTAATCATTCCCTGAAGAAGTCTCAGACTGAGACGAAACATGTCTGAAATAAACGAAAAAGCTTACAACTACAAGAAGTCTTCCTTTGTGCTGCTCACTAGTCTTCGTTAAAAAAATAAAAAATTAAAAAAAAAACTAAAAAAATCCAATAATCTTCCAAGCAGATGGGCTTGAGGGTAGAGTGTAGAGCTCAGATTGAAGAGAGAAGCTGGTAGAATGTCGAGAGTAGAGCATAGATGGGCTTAGAGGGTAGATGGTAGATCATAGAGCGTAGATCGAAGAGAGTAGCTGGTAGAACGTAGAGAGTAGAGAGTAGATGGACTTAGAGGGTAGATGGCAGATCATAGAGCGTAGAGCGAGTAGCTAGTACATGTAGAATGAAGAGAGTAGAGCGTAGATGGGCTTAGAGGGTAGATGATAGATCGTAGAGTGAAGAGAGTAGCTGGTAGAACGTAGAGAGTAGAATGTAGATGTTAGAACATATAGCGTAGAGTGTAGAGCATAGAGGGTAAACTCAATACAGAATTGTACATTTAAAAAATTATTAAAATACTGTAAACCGTAATAACACTTTATTAACACTGTAATATATATGAGAAAATAAAGAAAGCCAATAAATTGCAATTACAAAAATTACAGCATCCTAGATGATCAAAAAACTCGCACTCGCAATATTTTTTATCACTCTACTGGTTTTTTAAGCCTCTAAGCTAGTGTAGAGAGTAGTCAAAACTTCTTGAACTGATAAACTTGTAAATACCTAGAACGTAACGCGTAGATGGTGGAACATGGAATGTAAGAGCAATAAGAGCATAGCGCATTGACCATAGATGGAAGAACATATAGCCAAGAGCGTAGAGCATAGTCAGGATAAACTCAATACAGAATTGTAAATTGAAAACAATTATTAAAACACTGCAATCCATAATAACACTCAACATTCTCTACGCGATATAATATTTGCTACAATACCTACACGCCACTACACCTCTATGTACAGTGTACGCATATCGGAGAGAAACAGAGCTTAAACATTCAAAATACTACCGTAGAGTCGTAGAGCTCTACGAAAATTTCTACACCTAATCTAGCTTCATAAAACGGTTGGGTATACCCTTGGTGATAAATTTGGGGAATCTATTCAAAGCAAGCCCAAAAACACCAGGAATTCTGCAAAATTTGGATTTCAGGTTTTTTGGTTAAAACATTGACTCCTGTGCTGCCGGAAACTGGTCATGACAAGCCTTGGCCTTTGTTCCACTTCTGACATCATCACCTTTGACCAAATTGACATCATCTATACCCAACTTCTGGAGGAGGAAAAGATCTTTCCAATGATGCCCAGATCAAAGTGATTGGCTCAGTGGAGCCTGAAATATGCACAAAAATGCTCAGAAATTGAGTCAAAAACTCAGAGCAAAATTTTCTGCGACTACACGTGGCTGCTCCATGGTAAAAATTGCATGTCTCGATGATGCTTTCTCAGAATTTTTTGAACTGGAAGCAAGCCCAGCAGAAGGTCAACCACTGCAGCAAAAAGATAATAAAAGGAGAAAAAGGAAAGGCCAAAAAAAAATTTAAAAAAAAAAACGAAAAGGCTTAAGACGTACCATAATTTTGATTTCTTTGCATGCCCAAGCAAAAGTGTTGTAAAACGTGATGCTAGTAGAAAGAAAGGCATGCCATCATGTAGCAAATGCATTTTTGAGTAGATTGAAGCTAATTTGGCCCATATCCAGCCTGAAAATCTCCAAAATGTCCAAAAAATGCATTTTTTGCAAAATGCTCTGGGAGTCAATGGGTTAAGAAGCTAAAAATGTTCTCAAAAATTGATGTCCCAAGGTCTTCTTAAAAGTCGCCACAGATTCGCAAAGTCTTAAGTCGGCTGTAAAGAGATTTGTAAAGTCTTAAGGTTGGCTGTAAAGAGTTGCAGAGATTTACAGTTCTATAATAAAAAGTTCTCTGGCTGGCAGCAGTTTTGAAAAAGGGGATGGTTCAGCTTAGAGGCCTTGCTGCCAATCACAAGACCAAAATCAGGGACAGTACAACCAGTTAAAATCATTTAATGTTGTTTGGCATGTTGATGTTTCTACACTGATGCCATATTGAATTGGATCCTGCAATTTCTGACCATTGCAAGACTGGATATACCGATTAATCTCAATTTTTTCGAGAAAACTGTTCAGACTAAGAAGCTGTCTTTTCACCATCTGTACTCTGACTATTGAAATCAAATTTGCAATGAGTGATTCCAGAAAATAACACACCTATACCACGCATGGCTTTTTCGAAATCCCAGGTGAGGGAGGTTCTTTGAACTGGAAATCTGAAGGCATCCAAAGGCAACAATTGAAATGAGAGGTGTTGGGGGGGGNGAACTAATTACACTGCTGAAAACCATGGAAAGCAGGATACAAGACAAGCAATTTTTTTATCAGGCATATGTCTGTGTTCATTAATAGAAAAAAAAACCAATAATAAAATGTGGGTTGTACACCAAGCTCTAGAGGCCTTGAGGTTGATGAATTTCTTATCAGATTAATAATTTGCAACAAGCTCACATCTGTCAAAAGTAAGACACCAACCCATCATGTTTGTTTGCAAGCCAACACAAAATATGTACCAAAGATACATAAAGAAACTGCTATAAGGACATCTGATTGAGTGAATATTGTTCGTAATGTTGAAACTGAATCAGGCAAGATTTCCCCATGCATGTTCAGATTTCCATAGTAATTAACTTGAGACACAAAGCAATTGAAATTTTTAATTTTTTTCTCTACTTTAATTAATAGAATTTAAGTGGTTGGAAAATTGCGACTGAAGAAGAGGAAGTCTTAGTTGCCAAAGATTCAGTCATGAATGCAAGTGATGGCATGGGTCGGATAATCGGTGCAAATTTGAAGCCTCGTAGAAAGTTGTGTGACTGAAATCTTTTAGCAAAAACTTCTGGGAGGATGTAAAAGTGCAAAATCTCTTTCCCTGGAAACAATGAATTCTAGAGGGTTGAATTAAAAAAAAAAACAACAGGAAATCCAGAAGGGAGGGGAGGCCAACAATTTTGGAGTTCAGAAGGCATGGGGGGAAGGGCATTTTGGAATCCCCAAAGGCAAGGGTGGATATGGGTGGGAATCACCCAATATTCACCCTTGGGTAGGATGTACTGAATATTTTGACTGTATAAATAACATCCAACCGAGGGCTCAGTCAAGATAGCAAAATCCAAAATACCTCTGCATCATAAACATCATGCTTGCAGATCAAAAACATCGCGATGTAATCCGATACATCTACCCCATCGTTCAGCAAAAGAAAATTCAGGCAGGATTTCCGTAGAACTGTTTGCGAGTCTCCTATTCACGACCGACGACGACTATGCAAAAGAAGTCCACTGCATGATCAAGTAAGAGGCTATGTGGAAACGTTTCCCAACTAATTCTTATTCCCGATCCTGTACTCGTTCAGGAAATCACTGTCGGAATTTTAAACTCTAATTAAAGCGCCACTATTACATTCCACACTTCCTTTATGTATTCATAAACTTCCATAAACCTAGGGCAAGATTATTTTATACCAACTATTGTTTTTAAAGGAGAATATTATTTCACTAACAAAAGTTAACATACCGTTCCAGTCGCAAAATGTAGAAATGAACTGGAAGAAGACGGCGACTTGGTAAAACTTGTCTGAGTGCCAGTTGTTGACCCATTTCGTCGAAACCTGAAACACCGCCGAACACAAAAACTACAGTAAGTAATGATGGCTTTTAAATTAAATGTATTATACTCAGTTACAAGCAACTTACTTGTTAAGTTTTTGGGCAAACGCTCTTGTTGAGCCCGTAGAACCTTGACTGCCCTGCTGGGCAGCCATTTTAACTCTAACACTTCCTCTGGCAATGGCTAGTTTCCAGGTCTCTCCCTCTGACTGATCCAGTGGATGTAGATGTCGCCATCTTGGAAAATCGCTATCTTTTATTTTTTTGCGTCTTTATTTCTCTGTTATGTCTTCTAACTGTGATCATTATATTAGGCGGTGTTCTTTGCTGGTGAGTGACTTATTCATTTTTACGTCGAAATTTCAACTGAATATAAACTTAAATGTTGTAATACTCACGGGTGTCACGAAATTAACTTAGACTCTCGAAAACTAAAAAACTTATGACCTAATTAAGATCAGACCCCAGTTACCCCATCCTATTTTCGTACTAAGAAATCTATGACCCCATCTTAGTTTTCGAATTTTAAAAGCTGAGGTCCCATCTTTAGCACTACGAAAACTAAGACCACCTTCGTAAACCGATGTAAACCGTCAACAGTTTAGTGCTTGTGTGAAGGTTTGCTCGCGTGAGAACTACTTAAGGTGGCTCCCTAGAGTATTTACGAACACCCTCCCTATAGAGTGCGAGTTAAAAGAGGAAAATTAGTTAACTTCTCTTAAAGTTTTCGCTCTAGAGATTTACCAGCATGGGTACTGTTAAAATAAGGCTTATTTTTTGGTTGTCAATTTTTGAATTAAGGCCGTTACCATGGCAACATCTCTTTTAAAGACATGCAGATACATTCCTCATTCTCGCCTAAATTTGTTTGAGGGGGGGCGCTTATTTTAAATTTCGGCCAGTAGGAGGGACGCTTATTCGAAGGGGGCGCTTATTCAAGGTGGGCACTAATTCAAGGATTTACAGTATATTAGCGGAGCTCTGGCGGCCCAAAGGGATGCTAAGCAGGGCCCCATACTTAAATAGGAAAGAAAAGGAAACCCATGAGTTGATTTTCTCATGGTTATCGTAGCGAGCGGTATTGCTCATGGGTGCATACGCACTCCAAATAATAGGAAGTTTAAGAAAACCATGACGCCAACGACTACAGGAACGTCGATAAAACAAAAGGTTTAATGAGCAGAACAATGGCTTTGCACATGTGTTATAATTCTTGGTTTGTCGTCCTCTGTGAAATGACCAAATTCTGCATTGTCAGGAGCATGTGAACCACGACGGCTAATGTTTAAAATTTCTATTTTGAATCAATCACTGTGTCCCAGATTCAGTTTCATGATGGTTTTGACAGTGATAAACAAAGTAAACAACTATAGAGTATCCCGAGATCTGTAGGTAAAATAGAGAATCGTTTTTAGTCAACGTTGTCCTGTTGTTACTCCAATTCCCTAATAGGATGGCAGAGAACTGCAGCCTCGGTTTACTGTGTACTTCTTTGATATTGGACTTCCATGTTATGATCAACTGACACCTGTCAAAACAATGTATTCGCTGACCAATATCACGTGACCATATCGCAGGCTTAAGTTTAGGGCTCATCGAGGTCACATGTTTTTTTGAAGTTGACCACTGACCAAGTGCTGGTTTTTGATTGGATCGTGGGCTCATGTCAGGTTTACTAGTTGAAAACGGGGCCAGGTTGTTCGGAAGCCGGTTAATGCTAACCCAGGATTGAAAGTTAACCGAATTATAACTTTATCTTCTATACAAATGTTTTTCGCTGCTTTGTTTTACGTATATTGTGATTATTAAAACTCAAAACAGAAGCCAAACAATATACACACTTACGCCATAAGCCGGAAGTTACATGAAAGTGAGGCCTAAGGGCCCTCCAGTTGGCACGAGTAATTATGGCGGATGCTATGTCAGAAAGTGCAAGATCAAAACGTGCTGCACAAAAGACCGCATAAATGTTGTGCTACAGCACTATGTACTAATAGGTTGGATAACAGAAAAGACCTCACGTTCCACACATTTCCAAAAGATTCTCAACGTAGGATGGAATGGGCAGTGAAAATGAAACGATCTGACAGCAAGTTTAAATCGAACATGTCTCTGTTTTGCTGCTTCGAACATTTTGTTTCTACAGACTACAAGCGCAGTTTAACTGGGAAAAGGAAAGATCTTTTGCCAACTGCTACTCCTTCACGGTTTCAGTGGACCAAAGCGTCAA